CCTTGAGACGGGCCACGAGGCCACGGCTGCCAAGGAGACCACCATGCAGCAGGGGAGTGGACGGCTGGGAGCCTGCCACCCACCGAGTACATGCCCTTGACCGGAATCGAACTTGGGGCCCTTCAGTCCGCGGGCCGACGTTCTATCCACTGAGCCAGACTGGCTAGGGTGGGATTCCAGTCTTGAGAAGGCTCCCCCCGGCCCCCCGCCCCCAAAAAGAACAAAAAGATTCGCTGTAGAAGGGAGGGTGGCTCACACTGTGAGGCAGGAGTGGGGGAGCGCACAGTGAGGCAGGCTGTGGGAAGACGGCGGGGGCGTGAAGTTCGTGCCTGAACCACGATGGAGATCATGCTGTGACTCTTACTGAGACTAACATTTACTGGGCTCGTCAGATGCCACGCGATGTTCGTCATGGAGCTAATTTTGCTTCAACGGTCTTTTTATTTTTTAATATATTTTTTATTGATTTCAGAGGGGAAGGGAGAGGTTAGAAATAGACACATCAGTGATGAGAGAGGCTCACTGATTGGCTGCCTCCTGCTGGTGCCCTCGGCCGACCGGAATCAAACCCTCAAACCCGGGACGGGACTCTTCAGTCCGAGGGCCGACGCTCTGCCCGCTGAGCCACACCAGCCAGGACTCACAGTTTATCTGATCTTTGGGAATGCTAGGTAATAAATTATTTTTTCATTTTGATGCACCAGTTGTGACGCATATGGACAAGGAATCTTGAGCACTGCAACAGCCCTGCTGAAATAAAAACATCACCACCAGCAATCTGAGGCAAGATGTTTAATCGAAAAGGGTGCGTATTAGAAGGTCTCTATTAGTGAATTCTCCCATGATCGCTAAAATGTTGGGTCGTTCAAAAACGTGTCCTGTTTTACAGGTGTGACTTCCTCTCTGGCCAAGTTGAGGACAGTGAGAGCGATTGCCAATCTTTCACCGTTTCCGCAAAGCCTGGCACAATTCGGGGTTAACAGTACAAGGAATTAATGCATTATGCAAAATTCAAAAAAAAATCAAACTGCTTTCTTACACCTGAAATTAGGAAATTATTAGAAACAACTGGGTTTCATTTTGACTAGAGGTCTAAAAATTTTACTATTTTGTAGACACTATGGTGTTTTTTCTGGGAAAACACACATGAAAAACAATATGGGTCTAATTTGGGAGAAAAATTTTATTCATAAAAACTGCTTCCTGCCGAAACCGGTGTGGCTCAGTGGATAGAGCGTCGGCCTGCGGACTGAGGGGTCCCGGGTTCGATTCCGGTCAAGGGCATGTACCTGGGTTGCGGGCACATCCCCAGTGGGAGATGTGCAGGAGGCAGCTGATCGATGTTTCTAGCTCTCTATATCTCTCCCTTCCTCTCTGTAAAAAGTCAATAAAATAAAAAAACAAAACAAAACAAAAAACTGCTTCCTATATTTATATCATATAGATAGATATGGTACACTATCAGCATTCTAAGAATTCCTGCCAATATTCATGCTGCTCATTTCCACCAGCAACATTTTGCAATTTGAATGTGGACATAAGACCCAGAACACGGTGGGTTCTTGCCTCGTCTGACACCAGCATCACCGGAGAGCGTCCGCTTAATATTAACGAGCTAAAAGGGCTGGGGGGTAATTTCTCCAGCTCCCAAGAGCCGGTTTGATTTATTTTCCGGCCACTCTTTGGGAACTCAGGTACTCCTGCCACATTGTGATACACCAGGTTATTTACAAAATTACGTTTTATCCACCCAGACTGTCACTGAAGAGGAAGCAGAATAGTTAAAAGTATCCTCACTGCTAGATACGGTCGTGATGACATGTTGCTTCAATGACTCAAAAGCCTTTAAAGATTTTCCTCCTCATCTGCGTATTTTGATGATCTGTAAAGATAAGTCCTTAAAAGGCTGTAATTTTGACTAATCTCTCCCACAAAATGTAAGTGCGGTCAGTTTCCAAAACGAGGCTCGGCAATGAGGGGAAACGATAGAAGAACAAGGAACGGAGTCAAAACTGTACCCGATCTAATACCGTCACTCATGGTTAGTGGTCGAGGAATAATTTCAATACCTACAGCTGGTTTCTTCATAACAGGTTGTGTGTGTGTTTTTTTTTTTCCTGTTTGTTTTGTTTTATGAATCCTCACCCGAGGATATATTTTTCCCCGTTTATTTTTGGTTGCCTCCTGCATGTGGTGCCCGGCCCCGACCAGACTGGGGCCAGGGATCGAGCTTGCAACTGAGGCCCCAGGTGTCCTCGACCAGGAATCGAACCCGGGACCCTTCAGTCTGCAGGTCGATGCTGGCTCGCTCTCCCCACGCAGCCAAACCGGCTGGGGCATAATTGGTTAAGTTCTTTTTTAAAAAAAATATTTTTATTGATTTTAGAGAGGAAGGAAGAGGAAGAGATTGGCTGCCTCCTGCACACCCCCTACTGGGGATCGAACCCGCAACCCAGGCATGTGCCCCTTACCGGAATCGAACCTGGACTCTTCAGTCTGCAGGCCGATGCTCTATCCATTGAGCCAAACTGGCTAGGGCAGTTTTTTTTGTTTTTTTGTTTTTAAATAGTTGGCTATAGTTGGGGAGCCCTGACTACATATATTTTTTAAAAAAAACCACGTTCTCGGAACCACAGCTAAATACATTGTAGCGAGGCCTGTGGGAAGTTTGAATTCCCCAGGAATGGGAGCTTAGCAGGCGTTTTATGGATTTTTATCTGCAAAGTTGCAAGCTGTTCGGACAAGGAATTGTGAGGGATTCCATTCCAGCTTTGCCGGCAAGTGTGGCAGAGTCACACCAAAAAGAAAAGAAAAAAAGAGAGAGAGAGAGAGAGAGAGAGAGAGAGAGAATCCTCCTGCAACCCAATTAAATCAAATGGGGACCTTGGGTCCGCTGGTGTGGCCCAGTGGTTGAACCTTGACCTATGCACCTGGAGGTCACGGTCCCACTTCCGGTCGGGGCACTTGCCCGGGTTGCAGCCGCCATCCTCCTCCTCCTTCTCCTCCTCCTCCTCCTCCTCCGAAGGGGGTTTGCAGGAGGCGGTCCAGCCGCCCATCCACGATTCTCTCAGCGTGGACGTTTCTACGTCTCCCTGAAATAAAAAAAAACAAAAAACATATTGTAAAAAAATTAAAGGGGTGCTTTGGGACGAGATGTGAACACGCCACGGCTTTCAATGGGTTTCTTTGTCACACGGATCAAAAACATGTAGCCTCCCTGCCAGCGGGGGTCGACCAGCGGGCCGCGTCCCCTCCTGAAGGTCAGGCTGCAGGAGACCGGCTCTCCCTTTTGTCAACGATGACACCACGTGTTGGCAAGAGCCTCCGCCGGTGACCTTGGGCCCCTGAACGCCGGGGCCCAGGCTCTGGGGCTGCCTCTGCCTTGTTTACCGAGGGGGCGGGGGGAAGTGGGAGTCGGAGACCTTGTGTCCCTTCGGCACCCTGTCACCACCCTATCCGTTTCCCCAATAAAACGGGGAGCGGTTAGGACGAGCAAGGCGGGGGGGGCTTTACCAACATTCCCGGGGGGTCCAGGGGGAGGTTTCCACAGCGCGACCCCTTCTCGCTGTCGGACCACGCACAGCACAAACTCCCAAGAGGCGCTACCCCT